TCTTTTTAAATAGGACCCTTTAAAAGGAACACAAATATCTTAGGTCCGTCCGCTTCTGTGTTGAAAAGGCATCCCCACCCATTTATAGCAATCCATGTGGACCTTGAAACTGTGTTCAATCTGAGAGGCTCCGGAATCAATGCATCAACGTGCGCCTGCAGTTCCGCGGGGCAGCGGCCGGCAGCCATCTCATCCTGGAGGATGACCGGTTGTGAAGGAAATCGCCGGGTGCCATGTGTTGGAAGGAATCTGAAGCACCATATGTTCTGAGTAGATGAAAACGAAGCTGCTCTAGGCTTACTCACAGTTCTCATATACCAAAGAAATGTAGAAGAAAGAGTGTGCGCTTACCAGGTTTACCACCTGAAATACGCCGACCCCTTTTGGTGGGAGTTCGCGAGATATTCTTCAAGTCTCACACGGGGTCAAGCGTCGTCTTTCAATGCATTGAGCGACAAACTACACTGTCCATACCCGAAAAGAAGGGACTGTTGCCTGATGCATACGTTGCATGTGCAGGCAGTCTCATATCTATCGTGCATCCCGGTTTTCGCGCGAACATGTTTTAATGTAAGTACTATAGTCTTGTCCAAAAATCAGGAGCCACACTACTATCATGAGTAATTAATTCGTTCAAAAAGCCTCACAAAGATCACAAAGATACGAGCTATATATGCCCTACATGGCTCAGACTTTCTACTTCTCTTTGTTTCCCACCCAGACCACCATGGATTTCACCCACCAAGCTGGCATAGGAAAAAAGAACAAACAAACCGCCGCGGTCCATGAATTTCTTGTTGAGCGGATCCGACAACGGTCGGAAGGGTCCGTCGCCCACCTCGGCGCTTCGCGGCGGTGGTCTCCCGGAGAGGACGAGAGGAGGAGTTTCTGAAGGGGTCCGCAAGACCGGATCGAAGATATCGAAGGTCCGCAAGTTCTGAAGAGGTTCTTTTAGAAAAGAATGATCTTTTGAAGAAAACTGCAAATGTACTACGTACTGTGACATGAGGTGACATCATTGTTATGGGTTCAACTCCTGCAGGCCGGCATTGTTATGGGCCATGAAAGGCCCCTGGTTAAAGGAAGAAAGGTCATCACACATAATGCAACATCGAGTTAAAAGTCAAACGGTCTCTTTTTGGGGACCGCTGCACACCCCATGAACCGACCAAAACGGGCCGAAGATGGCTCGCCCGGCCGATCTCGGTGGGGTCCCGCCCTTACCGCCGGCGCCGAGGGGCCGTGAAGCCATTCCGATACACCGTCACGTTGCGATGATCCGAGGGGAGAGGGCCTCGGCCAGAGATGGACCAGTCGCAAAAAACAAAAGACACGTCGCAAACACCGGAGAGTCGGAGCCGTCGCGTTTACCGTCAGAGAGTTGGAGCGTTTTCGGAGTCGAGGCCGGACCGTAGTTTCGGTGGGAGCGTTTTCGGAGTCGAGAATGGTTGGGAGGAACCCAGCCTTCATAGAAAGGACGTTGTGGGAAGCTTCCTGGCCCTTTCCCATGGGAGGAAAACACCCCAAGCCTTCATTCGCCTTTTCCACAGAGGTCTTTCCAAATCTTTCAGTCGATCCAAGCCCATTTCTCAGTTTCTTCAGAACTTTTCAAGGGTTCATCCTGGTTCGTCGGTTCGTCAGTTCCCCTCTTTCATCTATTTCTTTAAAAAAAAAAACTGCCAGGTAAAAAACGATCACTCGGGCGGCGTGCCTGTACCACCTTCACTGCTCGAAGCGAGCTGTTGCATGCCTTGGATCGAGTCTGGCACACTCAGTATGTCACTCAAGTGTACCTTGCCCTGACTAATGGGTAGAAGTTTCATTAAAAAAAAACAAAACAAAACAAAACAACAATACGTGGAAGCCAGTTCAAGCATGTTCAAGCCATCTATGAACTGCAATGCTGCAGCAACCAAAGTAGCTCAGTTACTGGCACATGTGCTCATCCACCTCACATCACACCCTACGTGCCAATCCTCGCGCGATCCTTGCGCCTCCCTTCATTCCATGGCGCCAAGCGACGTTGCCAGGCATCCTTGCTGGAGTCCGGATGCTCCACGGCCAAGCCACTGCGAGAACGCGCGAGGTTCGGCGGTGAGCGACGAGGCGAGGTGGCGGACCCAACAGTTTCCGCGCTTTTCCGGGGCGTTTTGGAGGGCAAAGCAACGTGACACCGCCATGGCGCGCTGGTGGGACTGGAGGTCTGAGGTCTATGTGCAAGTCACCGCCCGGTGCACCTCTTGTCTCCTCCAACGTAGCTATTGGAGTTCTTGTCATTTTCTTCCCCTTCCTCCTGGAGCAACACAGGGCGAACATGCCGAAGTCAACAACGGAAGGTCATCACCTACGCTGTGCCTTGGATGGGATCGTCCCCCATTCAGCACCAACAATTCGTGCCTGGAGGCGTTCGTGGTGACTGTTGATAAATACAACCCCCCGTCTTCTTGTGGAGATGTGAAACCATTCTGGATCCGGGCAATTTTATAGTCGAAAACAAAAGGAACTTTGAGGCTTAGTGGCACGCAAGTGGCGAAGTTGGACGAAGAAACCACTCTGCTCTGGAAACGGCTGTATGTCACTGTGTCACTGTATATCCAAATAGACTCATGAATGTTCACTGTGTGTATTTTCTCTCAGAAAGGAATCGTCTGCGCCTTGGGCAGTAAGTTCAAACTGGTTGGATAAAAGTTGAACGCAATGAGCGTCCAATGTTTACGTTCGTCCCAAAAGCTTCACAGCTTCCACGACCAAAGCTGAGGACCAACCACAACGCCATACCGGCCATACGTACACCGAAGCGCCCAGCGCGCAAATCTGGCGGCGCAGTCACGGCACGTGCCGTGCGTCGTGCGTCGTGCGTCGCGCCAGTGACGTGCTCCTTCTTTCGTAGTTCGTCCAAAGAACCAAATCGAGCCATGACTGGTACGGGGTGCCGCGGAGACGGACGTGGTACGTGGACGGACCAAAGGGCTTTTAGTAATTCCAAAGATCACTGTAGCGACTGGAAGTCACCGCCGAATGTCCCCGGTCTGTATCTTGAAGAGTGAATTGAACTCTTGCTATGGCAGTTCCCAAGCTTTGCAGCTTTGGTGACAGGGCCCTTCCAGGGCCTGGATCAAAAAGGACTTCCTCTAACACAAACTAAATTGCCAGAATGAATAGAAATTTATCGTCATTCACTTTGTCAGTGTTTATTGGTGACTTATAAATAGTCCCTGCTTTCCTTGAGGATCGGGTCAATTTCGGACACTTGCCATGTGAATCTGTCAACTTCAAACAGGTAAGCCATTGTTCCAGCACTCTGGGATGCCCACAAAGACGTCGAAATGGACTGGTGACTTCGCCCAGTCCAAGGATGTCCAAGGCGAAGTCACATGCTAAATGTCCACGGCTATATATCCTCCATCACAATTCCACTCTAAGGGAAATTCGTTGTAATCCACCTCGTGTCCTGTTGCTACAAGTCTAAACCTGGATCAAGAAGCTTCAGCATCCGGTGAATCCCCCACATATCTGCACCTTGACAGGCGTCTGGCCGCCAGTCGGAAACAAACCGTCTGGATGCGTCTGAGCCACATGCCACACGAGGGAGAGATTGCAATGTACCGTTTGGAACGACTTCAAGGTCAAAATTCAGAAACGAAGAAAAGGAGCAGGGCTAAAAGGGCTAAAAGCACCTGCCAAATACCGACCAGTCAACCAATTTGGTGGACGTCAAAAAGGACTTCTCGAAAATAATATGTTTAAAAAGCCAAGCACGGCTAAGCGGTCGATCTATTAAAGATTGATCCATCACCCGACGTTTGAAGTCGTTTGGCTTAAAACTTGGAAGTGAAGCCCCTCAAGATTCAAACAGCTCAATTCCCAAATGGCTGTCTTTTTGATTCTTTTTGTGGGGGCTTTGCCCAAAATGGTCTTTGGGATTTGGGGCCGGAGTTCTGCAGAGACCGTAAAGTGTCCAACTTATATACCCTTTCACACATCCAGACAGGCTACTAAGGGGGACAGGCTCTGACAGCCGAGTGGGGCCTATGGAAGCTTGACCGCAAATCCCCTTGCGGCCCAGTGCTCCGTGATGTACTCTGAAAGCCGGCGCCACGTCGATTCACATGTCATGCAGTACACATCTGATTGGTGAAACCAACGGTGCACGACATCAACTTGCAGATTGCTTCTTGCCATCTGCCATGCACCTCCTGCATGACAAGTATGATTAGAGTGATGATGTGAATTCAACCCGGGAGGTTCTGCCTCTCCAACAAATGATCCAAGCAAGTCGGGGGTGTGTCGGACTTGTCCGAAGGGTAAGCCATTCCTCCGGAAGGTGAGGTCTTCTTGCAAAACACCCAGGGATAGGGGGCCACGCTTCGGGTTTGGAGGTGCTGCCGCGCTCAACTGGAGAATACAGACAATGCAGGTGAGAAAGAGGATGAAGTCCCATCCGCAGTCTTGCGGGAAAAGGACTTCTCATCAATTACCACGCCACATCGATGCCAAGACAAAGAATATGCTGGCGGGAAAAAGGAATGCCAAGAAGTTGCCAAATCCAGCATATATGCTGAAAAACTTCAGAACTTGTTGGAACCAAACGGTGCGTGTTCTTGATAAACCTCCGCTGACGTGGACGGTATTGGTTCACAGCGATCGCCATGGCGGCATGCCACACCTGGAAGGATTGTGTGGCCAAGAACAGGGATCCGCACTTTTGACTCTAAGCAAACCCTTTGACAGTTTAAGAGTTCCAGGATGTTCCAGAGGGTTGAAAACACTGATGCTGGAAAAGTGTTTGCTTCCTTCTACCCATCTCCTACGTAGATCGCGTAAAGCTGTTGAATTGTTCCACAGGCATGCAATTCACATGATCCCATTGTTCAACATAAAATCACACGTTAACTGTTAACTCATTATGGTGGGAAAATGTAGAAAACTGGTCTTGGTGCTGTGCCATCTACTGAACAGTTGCTCTTGGCCAGGGACCCGCAGGGACCCGCACCTCATGCTCAGGCGGGAACATCCTCCTTTCGTCGATGTGGCGTTCGGTGGCGTTTGTGTTTCAGGGTGATTATGTGTTCGTCCAAAACCACAAATCGAAGGAAGATTCAAGTATGTGGAATCTGTCAGGTGTCACATCTGTAGTGCATTGTGTCCAGGATGTTCCAGTTGCTCAAGATGCATCTGTCTAGAGGCCAACCAGAAGGGGCATACTTGGACGATCCTGATCCTGATATTGCATGATATTGCTACTTGAGGTTTTCAGCTTGTGTTTCAAGGACTGATCTGTCCCATCTGCTCTTCGTCGTCTTCCCGCTTGCGATGAGAAACACAACCAAGTGGGTGTGTCTCAGGACACCCTATTACTCGGCAGGCCCTTCAGGTCTTCTTTAAATGCTTTGCAAATCAGCGAAAAAGAACAACGAATGAAGGAAGAAGAATGAAGGAAAGGGAATCTCGAAGACTAGGTTTGACTGGGTAGAATGCCAAGAAAGAACAATCATGGAATAAAAAACAATCAAACGCTACGAGCACACACAAGCACCACAGAGTCGACCCTCATCTCCTGAGGCGGAGCCTCCGCCGGCTCCAGCCCTGCCGGGTGGCGGGAGGCAAAGGTGGAAACAACATGATGCAACACTCCAACACCTGTGTGTTCATGAGAAGTCTGACGAGGACTCCTCCTTGGGATGAAGAGTCATCCTCTTTTCAACACTTAGTCTTGAAAGTACAACCTCAGAAGCTCCTTGAATCCCATGAGTCACGGATAGTCACGGAGTCATCCAGCTCCTCCGACTCCGCGGCAGGAGAACGACCAGCGCCACACGTGACGTGACACGGCTGCTGGAACCGGAGACTGTGAGACCCCATTCGCGCCGCCGGTCGGAGCGCCGGTCGGAGCTGCCTTCCCCAGGGACGCCCACGCGAAAGCTCTCCAAGACAATCTTCGGCTCACCATCTTCACCTGGAGCCAGCGGAAGTGATGGAGGAAGGCTGTGGTGACTCATGGCGGATGTGTCCCAAGATGGACTTCAAGCTGTACCAATTGCTGGTGACAGAAAGTTAGATAAAGTGCATGCTTTTTGGATTTGCGATGATTTGTGACTAATTATTTTTGAACATGTTGTTCCGCCAGCTAGTTCTGACTTTGCCAACACAAGTCGTCGTTTGATTTCCTGGTCGAGTCTTGAATTTCCTTTGTTGCAGCTCATCAATCTCATCACCCAACCCCTTGAGCACTCCTTCAGGTGGAGGTTGCACCACCGGCTTCGCCAACAGCTTTTCCCCCCCGGGTTTCTCCTGGGCGAACCTCAGCCCAGCGCGGCCAAGCCACCCACACCAATCCCGCGGGCGGCTTACCGGCGAAAAGAGAAGCCATGAACAAATGATAGGTGGATATGAGATGACATGAGTTTGGGCCATTGGAGATCTTCTCTGGCCATGAAGAACCAGCATGTGTCGATCTCGTGAGCTTCTTGTCATTAGCTTCCCATCCAGAGAAGAAAGGCTGGCGACTGTTGTGTGAAGGCACAAGGGAGGACTCATCCAGAGGCGTATGCAAATAATTACAAATAATGTATCAGAAGACAGCCTTGTTGAATGGGTCTTCATACACACAAACAGACATGTGAACTTCTTCAGAATGAGGATGCGCATCCTCCTATTGATTGAAAACCGGCAAAAAACACCCTCCTCACGTTTCAACCAGTTCACTGGGGTCAGTTCGGCTGAAAACCCCCCAGCTGCCCCAGCTCCACCACCTCCCAGCTGTTCGGCCCAAGAAGCAGTTCCTGCAAGGCAGGAAGTTGCTCCTCGGTGATGGGCACCACGGTGCCATCTTCCAGCGCCTCACCACGGTCGCTTCCGGTTTCGTTCCCGCTTTTGGACGACGGCACCGGGCTCCGGGAGAAGCACGCCGCTCGTCAAAAGCACGGCCACGTTGTCGGTCGAAGGACGAGGACCCCGTCATACGGTAACGATGGGGCCTGAGGGGGGGGGCCCCCCTCAATCATAAGAAGCATTTTAAAAAGAGAGTAAGAAGTTAATTTTTAGTATATGTATATTACAAAATAATTCTAAATTTATACAATTCCAAAATCATTAAAAGCATTGAAAAAAGAAATCATTGCAGGGGCAACCACCTGTTTTGTGGAAATGAGTCCCGGGGTATCTCTACCCCTCAAGTTCTACAATGTTGCTTGGGCCCCGCCCCTATCCCCCCGAACTCATCGACCCCTCACAACGCCCCCAACTTAGGTTGACCAAAATGTTCGACAAATCGTCGGAGAGCAAAAGAAGTATCTATATAATTGAGCAAAACGAATTCCTAGGTCACCCCCTCCTGCAATCCATTTGGGTGGAGGGGGCCATCAAAAACGGGCGCGTTTCGCCGTGCGGCGCAGGTCGAAACGCGCTGAGGTCGCCACCACTAGGAACTCCTCTGCGCGGATCTCCAGAATCTCCAACTGAGGGGACCCAGCAGATTCATTCCAAGCTCGGTGAGCTTCCCAAGGTCGGGCTGCAACAAGTGAGCCACTGACCATTGACAGTTCTCAGTTCTCAGGGAAAATAGAAGGCAACACCTGGACTGGGAAAATAACGTGGCCCGAACATGGTGAAGCTGCTCAACACCTAGCTTCGCAATGCTTCGCATGCTTCACATGGAAAGGCTGTCTTTTTGGCCGAGTATCTCTTTCATCAACAAATCAAGCTTCACCAGCACTTCGACGTGCGTGGAATGGCTTGTCATCCACTACATAATCACCAGATGGCGACTCGTATATATACAAACACCCCACCCTCCTCAGCCCGCGCAGGAACCCCGCCTCCTCGGGTTTGGGTGGAGGATCAGGGATGAAGGCCTCCCACTCCATCATCTGCTGCCTGGGGCGCTCGCGAAATCGCGGGACACTCAGGGCGGGGGGCCCCAAGACTGTGCGGGTGTTGGAGTCGAAGCCCACCGGTTCGTCAATTGTGAGATCCAAAGATCCTGGGTTGCGTTAGAGATCCCACAGGCATGGTGTTCCAAGCTTTGAAGCCTCGAGTTCCTGGCTGGTGGCTGTTGCAACTTGGGTCTTCCAAAATGTCTAGATCTCCAGTAGAGTTGCAGTTGAACTTCAATCCAACGGAACGATACCGACCCCTGAACCCTGCATGGGCAAGACTCATTTCAACCAACCCCTTTTGAAGCAATAGACTAGACATCTACTGCCCCACACACCCAAAGTCCTCAAAACAGAACCCGTGCAAAGCAAGTCTTCTCAAGAACGCTCTTTCTTCCTCGGACCCGGAGCCCAGCGAAAATGAGGACCATTTCCGCCCCTTTCCGAGCTGAGCTGCTGTTGTTTCTTCAAGTCCTCGGCAGCGGCTTGCTTCTGTGCCAGCGCCTGGGCCGACGGCTTCACCCTTTCCCCGTGCCGGTGCAGTGCGGTGCGGACGGGCCAGTCTCAGGATTGATGGGTTTGGGGCATTTGGAGGAAGTGCAACCGGCTTGACCCCTCCAGCTTGACCCCTGGTCTGTTTCAGCCACCTAATGCAGCCCAGGAATGGTGACCCTTGGGCAAACGAAGAAAGGATGGCCTTGGGCTGATGTCAATGAGAAAAATGTCTCTAAAGGGATCTAAAGGGAGAGGTCTTTCAGGCCTTTCAGTTTCCATGCTAGTTCTTGGGAGCCTAGTAACTTAGCAGTCAACAAGGCTGTGGCAATGTTCGCTCTTGCTCGGTCCAGGAATCACCTCCTGTCTCTGAAAACGGCCACATTACGGTTCACTGGACCCTCGGTTCGCCAGGTTCGGCCAGGTTGGTGGACCTAGCGCAGCTACTTCTGGGTGGAAGAAAATCACCGAGTCTGCCGAGTCTCTTTCGTGAGGAGTGACTAAAAGGAGGTTCTTTCCCGTTCCTTTATAAGTGCTCTGGAAAAATCAGATGTTTGTCCTGATGGTGTCAGAGATGTCCGTTCTACTGTAGTAGGAGTACTTCAAAAGGAATTCCCAGAATATTGAGCCTCACATGCTCGGGTGGCCAACAAAGCAGTCGCCGCGCCTCTTGTTTCTCTTCCCTCGCCTGACAGTTAAGCTTGCCAGAGAAAAATCAAGAGATAGGATAGACGCACGTCAAAACTATGCATGCATGGCATATGATGACATGTGTAGCATTGACATATCATGAATCAGTACTCTGTCAGGCTAAGCCTTGAAAATGGTCAAGAACATGCATCAGCCCTCAGGCCCTACTATGGTATCCTTTTCCTCTATGCACGTCATTGTCATCTTGGGAAAGGTCATTCGGGTACAATTGGTACATTCATCCGAAGATAGGGTCCCTAAGCCTCCGTTGCTTTCTACTTTGGTGAGAACACTTCGAGGATTGAAGGAGCACCACTTGCAACTGTGAACTCTAGCTACAGTAAGCCCGTTCTTGCAGCACGCAACCCCAAAACCCTTTTCCCCCCGCCTGCCGCTCGGCTTCATCGATGAGCGCCAAGCGTCGACGCTCGATGTCCAGCATCTTACTGTGTTGCTCCAACCTCCGCGCCGCTCGGCGCCGCTCGGCTCACCGGTTCACCGGTTCGACGTCGGGGGGACGACCACCGAGCCAGTGGAGCACCGAGAAACAGGGTGAATTGCTTTGCCAGAAGCTAAGGCTCTAAATCATGAACTTCCTACCTCGTATTCCTCCTTCAGTCACCCAGTCGTAACATCCTCGAACCTCAGGAAATACGTGGAAATACTTCAGCCCTCCCCCGAGCATATCTTTCAGCTTCAACTCGGCCATCCCACATGGCCCCCGTCGTTTCCAAACAATCCAAGCAGCTTTTCGGCCACCGTGGAGTTGACGACGGCGTCCTTTGACGATGGATCCGCGGAGCAGAATCTGTGAGAATGGAAGATCTGCATGGAAAACGTGAGGAAATATATATATATTTATATATGGAAAATCTGTAGGAATCGACTGAAGATGTTGGAAGAATTTAATAGAAAATCCTTTGACGACCGATTTGTCTGCTGAAGTGAGTCAAAAAAAGATTAAAAAGAAAAAGGCTATGCCTTCGGCCGCCTTCGGGATATGGAAGAACATTTAAGGATCAAAACCTGATCGATTTCTTGAAGATCTGGAAGATAAATGCATACACAACTTCAAGTCTCCGGTCTCAAGACCTCTTTGTCACAGGAGATTGATACGGATTTTTGCTGGCTTCCGGCTCTGGCCGCGTGTTGAATTGAAGGACTTCCCTCGATGGGAAAAAGATTCCCAGCATGCTCCTCCTCCCATCACCTGTCACCTGCAGTAGAAACAGACTGAGGTCGCGACGGCCAACACACGCTCGTGTGAAATGTTCTTGATCTGCTGAGAGACCATCTGCCAGGCAAAGAACATCATGCTGTCCGACGTGGAAACATTCGTGGAGCATTGACTAAATGCACAATTCAATCAAGCCCAGCATGATTGCAATGTACTCCTGATTTGTTCAGATCAAACACAATGAGTATCCACCCAATGGTCTTGAGTTGACCAGAATCTTCATTCATTGATTCATTCACTTTGATGGTTACTGTAAGTCTCTTGACAAAACCTCCCTTTGCAGCGTTGTTGTACAGGTCCTTCCGACCTTCCGACCTTCCGCGCGGTTTCAAGTCATCGGAGGAAGCGCTTCAAGTCAGGGGGGTCTGATATCTTCGAAGGCTCGCCTGGTACAAGCCAGGCAGAAACTTTGTCTCCACCGCCATGCTGCCGACATCCGGAAAGACACCCTGAGTGGCGCTGGTGCAGTTTGTTGGGTAAACCTGTTCTGGAATACCTCAAGTATATGACACAACCAAGGTATGGTTGATTCGCAGCTGATTTTCACCCTGCTGTGTCACACAGCTTCCATCCGCATGTTTCACACCTTTACTCCCCAAGCAGCCTAAAGCTACAGTATCAAAGCGTAAAGTAGCCAGGTAAGCTGGCAGACCAGAACTGAACTTCCTTCTTATTCGTCATTTCGTCATCAGTAGCAGTAGCGTGATGGATAAATATGTTACAATATCGGCCAGTTCAGCATTCAGCATTCAGCACTGCTTGACTTTTGGCAAGACCGGGGACAAAAACAGGAAACTCCAGAGATGGTCACCACACCTTTGCTATGGCTTTGCCCGTCGAAGGAAATTGGATACAACTGTCACGGCTTCTGGGTGCTGACCAATAGCGATGACCAAGAGCCGCTCTTCCTCCACCTATCGCATCCTATCGCCACCTGCTTCCCCCCATCCCTCTTAAGTACTTTCACCACAGCCTCCACCTTCAGGCCCTGGGAAATCACCCAAAGCCGCTCGTTTGCTGCTCGTCTCGCCGAACTAACCCGCACTCTCCAAGCGACAGCGTCGGAGAGGTGCAGCAACATTCGCTCCTTGAGGCCTCGATACCGGGTGGAAACCGGGGACCTTGAGTCCCAGGCGGGTGTTCAGGAGGCTGGTCTATCCCTCAGAGGCGGATGTTCGAGGCTGAGAATCAAGGTGTTTCTAGCTGTAAAACATGTTAAACAAAACATGTTTCAACCGTGAACAGCCGTGAACAGCAGGAGGCCCAGCGTGACTTAGACAAGCAATCATTGTCGCCCCAAAACCGTTCCTCCAAGCCCGCACAGGCACCTGCCTTGCAGATGCTCCATTGCGATCTGCCTTGAGAGCACCTGCCACTTGCCAAAGGATCCAATTGAAGGAAAAGGCGGTAACAACCTTTGACACAAAAAGGATGAAGGTGTCACGAAGATTTACCAACTCTGCTACCTTTGGGTCATCCAACTACCAGTCGCATCAGCCGATGGTCAGTCACGGTGGCCGCCTGGATTCCTGAACACCGCACGCGTCTGCAAATTGGGCGCAAATCTTTGGTCCAATGTCAGTGTCTGCAGTAAGCCAATCATCCCAAACTGCCTGATGACATGATGAGTTAAACAATACTCAGCTTCCCTATGCTTCAAGCGGGTCTGGCTGACACCTCACAGTGTCCTCCCACCAGCCTTGCGCATGGTGCAAAGGTCTTGCTCTCGCTTGGCAGCCTGGAGGCTCGAGACCGCTTTCGCCTTTGAGACCTTCGCCTTTTTGGGAGTCTCAACCTGGCCATCCATCCTAGCTCAGAAGGGGCAGAAGAAGCGGTTCGTTCCGAAGGAAGGAGTATGTCGGAGTCAGTGGAACATGACCGGACAATCGAGGAGCATATTCGGATAAAGCCTCTCACAATTGGACGTACACCTGAATAGTTCTTGCTCCAAAAGATAGGATGGCTCAGGACTTCTGTTTCTTCAGCTCCAAAGTTTGCAAAGCTTCCCTTTTCTTCAGCTCCAAAGCCCGGCACGTGAACCTGCTGTCGTTGCCTCGCCACGCCTCCCCGCCACGGTTTCTTGACCCGCGCCTGCTGCGCCAGCCGGCGCTGCACCTCGTCGGCGCGGCGCTTCTCGGCGGCCTCCATGCGCTGCACCTGCGGCAACGCCGGCGGACCCCAGGAGTTCGGCCATGTGACGTGTGGTGCATGGAGAACACCAAGTGAACGTGGGCGTGGGCGTGGATGAAACCGCACTATCCGTGGCCGGTGTCAGATACGAAAAGAATGAATGATGTCTTGGAAGTAGGCAGTATGGCTTCACCTTCGGACACCAGACATTAAAAGGGATCCTTACACTGGGTGATTTGCCGACATTCTCATCCTTGGTGTGTCCACATAGAGTAAGTTAAGACATGTTGAGTTGAGGCGTTCATGTGTCAAAACTGAAATCAAATCAAAGGAAACCCCTCCCCCAACAGCCCGTAGATGGGGGAGCCTCAAAGCCCACGACTCGTGGGCCGATTTCGGCCTTTCCTGGCCTCCAAGAGCTCGGCATTCCGTCGCTTCTCGAAGTCCTCCTGGTGCCTGGCCGTCGAGCTGGGAGCGCGAGGACCATCACGACCACGAACGCGGCTTCCTGATACAGAAAACCAAAATGAAAAACCATATCTTCGAGGTCATGGACATCCCGTTGAACAGGGGGGAAGGGCCTGTCTGCAGTGGTTTGGGAATATGGTGGAATATGGTGGAATACTTGAGGAGGCGGAATGATATGGATCTCCCCTGCTCCTTGGCTCCCTCCGAACCGCCTAGCTCAAGACTTGAAAGCTCCTACAATTCGAGTGAGTCGAGCCTCCCAATGGTGGACTCCCCGACATCCAACAGGCTTCATAGGATTTCAGAGGTGTCCTTTTCTTCAGGGCCCAGCTGACGCACAGCAAAACCCTGCAAAACCTCCTCAAATTTCTCAAACCTATGAAACTCCGCTCAGAAGCTTCGACAGCGACTGGGTGGGCCTTTGCAGAGAGGCAAGTTCTTCCTCTTCGAGTACTTCCATCATGCTCTGCTCCAGAGTCTTCCCCACCAGCACCTCGTTGCGCACGAAGTACACGCTCACTTCACTCCAGAACATCAGCCGACAGGACGACTTAATGGAATCTAATGGGTGCATGTGACTGCATCTTTGGGTGTGAACCTGGATCTGTGGACAGAGATCCTGCTTGGAGCTGTCACGCAAATTCCCAAATGTCCGATCTGTGTGAGACCGTGGGTAGGGTCTTGTGACCACAATTACCAGTGGCCACGAGACAGGCTAGGCGGCTAGACCCCGCCGCTACCAGTCACTAAGTCTAGTCCACACCGCCCAAAAACGGCCCAGCCTCTAAGACTGGTTCGCACTCCACGTCGAAATCGAAGAGTTCACCGTCTTCGATCTGAGTCTCGATGTCGATGCCAATCTGTGCGGACGAACGGCGAAGGCCCACCGGAGCTTTGGAACCTAAGAGGCACACCGTCTCCGCTTCGGCAGATCGACGATGGTGAAATGCTGTCTTAGCCACTCCAGGCTCGAACGTTTTTGATGCAAGCTTCAAAAATGTCGTGTCCAAAAAGGGCTCTCTCCGACATGTTGTAGAGTTTCTACTTCCTTAAACGACTGAGAATGACCTGAACTCGGACATCGCCACTGAACGACCTGATCCTCGGGAGACCCAGTCCCAACACTTGGACTCTCTTCAGCTGCTGTGGCAAGCGTTGTCAGAAATCTTCCCGATTCTTTTTCCGGAAGGCTGTGGGTTCAGTGGTTTCAAACCGTTCGCTCAGGGTCACCAGCAGCTGGGCTACTGGAAGACCCCAGCCGACAATTGAGATGGAATGTCCAGGTATTGAAAATCGGTCAGGTATCTGTGTGTGTGTGTTTGTTTGAAGAAGATTCACAACCCCTTAACCCCTGTCAGCTTTGCACCCTCTTTCCACTCATCCTGCCTTCGCTGGCATGAAGAGCGGCGAAGGCGGACGATCCAGGATGAAGTCCGTCTGCGTCTCCGCCTGATGTTGGCAAAGGCCGATTGAATGTTGAAACTATGTTGTCTCAAGTGAGAATGAACTTGCAAATGTCTTCAATTCAGCCGCCAAGGAGACGATTATACCCTTCCTCCCCCAAGAGAGGAAAAGGAACATCATCTTCGAAATATTTGCGCTAGTTGTGGGGAGAGTCAATTTCAAACAGTAACACTAGTAACACCTCTAGAGGTTGCCAACTTGGCCACAAAGAGTCATTCATGAATGTCGATGTTTGATAGTTTTTGTGTGGAAGGTAGTCTTCCAAATCCTTCTCACAGGGACTAGCTTTCCTTTGAGGGAGTGTATCCGCTATCTTTATATAGCTGGTTCCGTGTCTGAGTGGTTGACTATGCTATCCTTTTTCAGTGCTTGAAAAGGATGTTCCCCAAGCTTTCGACCTCTTTACCACTCTTCCATCCCTGACATCTTGAAAGCTCCATTGATTCAAGTTTGGTCAACTTGCAGATCTCATTTCTTCTTCCTTAGACTCATCTTCTCAGCCAAAAAAAAGAACGACCAGAATGGTCGCAACAGCTGCTTCTCCCATCCTCTCCCATCCATCCAGTCGCTCACACCTCGAACTCGACGATGCGATCGGTGAGCTTCTCCAAGTACCTCAGGATGAGCTTCCCAATAAAGGACAGCCAATGGATGCCGCTCTGCCATGCGCCATGGTGCTGCCTGCCCTCCCCTCACCCTGCAGAAGGGGGCAGATATAGATTTGTCATGATTTGTCTATAGTCTATAATTCATTTAAATAATCGTGGTCTGTAATGTTCGATTCATTCTTGATCATTCATTTACAAAATAAGGATCAGCCCCGTGAAGTTCCTAAAGCCGTGAAGCCCTAAACGTAGCAGGTAGGCCCGAGGGAATCTACCAGATCTACTCCGAGTTCTGACAGTGATTCAGGAATGAACATCTTTAAAATGAATTAGAATGGAATGAACATCTTAATTCAGGAATGATTCAGGGGAATCCACTCCGGTACTGCTGCTGGACATCTGAGTTCATATTGCACCGATCGTTTCACACAAAGGGACCGACTGTTTTCAGATGTCCTGCATCTGGACCGCCAACCAACCGAAAAGGAGGCTTCCAAGCATGGTCGGACTCTCCGACCAAATCCTGGCTCCAAATAGGAGTGGCTTCCAAGCGAATTTCACCAATCTCGCCGAAGTGATTGATCTGACTTAGACTTAGACTAAAATGGAAGAAATCACACCTGCCTACTTGCCACGGACACCACTCTGAGAACTCTTCAACTCATCCAAGTTGTCACATGCCCGAGGAAGTCACGTGTCGGTCTGAATATCCATGTGCTTCCGGCCTCAGTCCCAGCGCGCCAGCGCCGCGCCGCGCGGTGGATGCCTCGCGTTTTTCGACGCTTCACATGTTTCCTCCGGTCGCGGGGTTGAGGGCATGGCCGGGCACCGCCTCTGGCGTACCGGAGCGCTTCTTGGTTTGGTTTGCACCTCAGCCCAGGGCAGCGGAGAATGGCGGTTCTGAGGCGCTGTCCAACACGATGGGGCAGAGCTTGAAGGAATTCCAGTCGCCACAAGAAATGAGGGGACAAAACAAGAACTGCAAGTCCTTGGTGTGAAGATATGGCCAACTCGATCTCACTCTCTTATCTGCATAATGAACATTTGAATGAAATCCTGTTGGCACAAGGATTTTTTGGCTTGTTGCGCAGCCTTGAAGCTTGCTCGAAAACTGCTTCGTGTGGGGCATCAGGAAGGCTGTATGACACTTACAGAAGTCAACCGTTTTCACTGGTTTCTCGACCCATGGCATTCGTGACAAAAACGTCGGATTGATCCTTCCGAGGAACGTGTTCGAAAGCAGGGGTGTCCATCCTTCGGTTTGGGACAAAGATCCCAGAACAAAAGGTTCTTTGAATTTAGACTCCCTGTTTGAGGATCTTAGAGGTGATTCTGGGTGTCCGGGTGTGAAGCACCCCAAACCTGGGCCGAACCAGCCAGGTTTCACCCAGCTGAAGGACCTCGGCGGCGGCTGATCCTCGGCACCCGCACGCAGTCTGCGACGCTGTGCATCCCGCTGCTTTTGCACCTGGCACGCGGCACCCCCTCCTCCACCGCGCAGTTGGGCACGTTTTATATGGCTTTGTGGCTTTGTGGGGAGTCTACTGGAGGCCTTAATTGACAGCGACTGCCAATTCTGTGAGTGCAAAAAAAGAAGGAAAAAAACAACTTTGTTCTGCCTGTAGGTTATATACCACCATTTATGGCAACGACCTTGTCCAGCTCAAGACTTCTATAGAACTCTAGTCTGTGGAATACTGGTTACCCAGGTACCCACCAGTAGGTGAATCCACGAGGCGAGATATGCTAGGACCTAGTTCGGAATGTGCTGGGTGTCTTTGAAACCAACTTTCTTGAGCCGAGGTTGGGCAGCCCCAAAGAATCCTCCAACTCATCAACCTCAAAGAGCCAAACCTTCGAAACATGTTCATGATCTCACCTGAAACTGTTGCTGGTCTTTTTCGTCTAGTCACTCGTGCGTCTCACTCACTCTCCATGGCTCGCCATGCGCCATTCCGACCCAACCCGTCGACGTCGACGGAAAAACGTCGACGTCGACGTCGTACTCGCGCCGACTCGACGAGAGAGGTCGTCTCGACTAAGTCGAGGTGAGGCGACGTCCACCGTCTCTTCAGGTTGAACCACGGCTGCGTAGGTGTTGCCCCTCACCACGCGGCGGTCATACCTCGCACATCGGAGAGGGGCGCGTCGCGGATCCGGGGAGCTGGGAGCTCGAAGTCGTGGAGCTCGATCAGTCCACCAGGTAGGTCAAGCGTGGCATCTGGTGCCAGCTCCCAAAAGCCATATCTCTTTGTCCCGATTTGAACCTGATCCAAGTCGTGACTGCCTTCATGTGCTGTTCCAGCAAGGTTCCAGTCTTTGCCTAGAAAGGGTTCAAGTTGCCAAAGCCAGGGTCGGCCCACACCTTTTGACCCAGCAAATCAAGGTGACGGAACTGCCTTTGACCATTGCAAACTGTCCCGAAAAGCTCAGATCTCGCAGGCAGAGATAGAGAGAGAGAGAGAAAGAAAGAAAGAAAGAAACCCGGCCGCTGCGGCCCAAATCGGCGGCCCCCAGGCAGGTCACATGATGTTCCCATGGCCCTTCGTGTCATTGGGATCTCTGTACCTCATCCAACAAGCGAATCGACACAGCGGGGACATCGCGGGTAGCCTAGGAGAAGCCAATGCTCCAGAGGTTTCAGAAACCGTTGCCATGGGCCCTGTGTTGAAGAGGTTCACTTGGTGGTTGGCAAGCAAACATCATTTGGAATGAAAATAGAGTGAATAGAGGAATTCACTCTTCCAGGATCTTGTAGTCCAGAATCTGTCAGGAGTCGTCTAGTTGGCACATTGGATTGCCTTGATCGAATCAATTGATGAGAACTTCAGATCTTCCCTATTGAAGCACCTTGGCCTTCTTCCTGATGACTGATGCTTCAACCCCCGATCACTATAGTCAAACAAATGGCAGAATTGAGTGATCCTTCACCGTAGAAACCAATCCGGAAGTTCCGGCTGATCCAAGCAAACCAAACTGGACATTCTACGGAAACTTGCAGGTCATCCAATGACCTGAAGAGATCAACAATGGATTAGAATTCTCATTGAAATGTATAAATCATACCATCATACATATCATACATATTTACAATCTGATCTTGAACAAAAAAACTGGTGTACTGTATTCCATCCCACCGGTGCTCCTCCCACGAAAAAGAGCCCTTGTTCCACCCCTTCCATCGGCACTTGTTCCTCGATCCCACCGCTTGTGGCGCCGAGGCGAACTGCTGGACCTGTCCGGACCGGGTCCGTAGCATCCGTGGCATCGAAGCCATGGGTTTAAGGGAGGACGGGGCATCAATGGAGGTCTTGTTGACATGTTGACTGGCAGTTCTTTGCATTTTGCTCTGCAACAAAAAGGAAGGGGTCGTGCTGGAGGTCTTGTTGCGGCCGCGCTGGAGGTCTTGTTGCTGTCTTTTTTCCTTTCGAAGATGAAGTCCATGAAGTCCTCAGCCCATCCAGCGCCGGTGGCCTCTCCTCCCTTCTGCATCTGTTCACCTTATCGTTCACCCAAACTGCAGAGGCCAAAGAAATGCATGACGAAATCGATGTCACTTGAATGTCGTCAATCTTAAGCAACAGTCAGTGCTCTTTGCACTGTAGAAGAATGAGACCCTGGACCCCAAGCAAGCCTCATTTACGTCCAGCTCTGCTAAGTCATCCAGATCTCTACTGTTCTGCATTGTGTCTTAGACTGGTCTAATCATACAAGACCCTAGAAACTGCAGCAATGGATGGGCACCTCCTAGTCCTAGCATTGAATGAGATGGCGCGAGGATCGGCCACCCAACACACTCCGGCCCCCCGATCCCACGGCCCCCGGTCCAGCCACTCTCGGCCCAGCCACTCTCTCGAGTCGGGCCGTCGAACGGCCGTCGAGGAAAAAGGCTTCGAATCAACTTCCAGTTCTGACCCTAAAGAGGGCCTCGAGCAGAAACGTCACAGACATATACAGACATCAGCTTCGCGTTGTTTGCCAGAAGTTGTCAAGACTATGCCTCCAGCTCTGGGTTGTCTAGGGAGACAGCGCATAATAGCGTTCTCAGAGCTTTCAATCCTAGACTTTGCAGTTTAAGGGGCCAGGCACCCTTGTGACACGGCCCATGTCCGCCGAGCTCAAGCACAGGAACCTGATCCAAAAGAGTCCGACACGAGTGCTGCTGCCGTAAAGTTTATCCAGGTACTTCTTGTTGATCATTTCTTTCATCCACAGGAACCTGGAGGAACCTGGTTCCACAAAACAGAGGTATTCATGGAGTGCCTTTTTTCAGATCCTCGATGAGTCTGGACGCGCCCAGGCGGTAGAAACCCCATACATCCCCCATCCGAGTCAGAAACGAACATGCTTCACTTCGGGACATGTTCCGAATGACTCGGCAGACGTTTCAGAGTCCGAGTCTGACTTGTGCATCAAGTCAGCCGCCGTCGGAGACTGAGAGAGACTGAGACAGGAGAGGACTTGGCTCGCCTGCCGTTGGTCCCGTTCGTCCTCCAGTTGGTTGCTCATGTTTCGCTCAGCTCTCACTACCAAGATCTACAAGGATAGCTACAGACCTTCGTTCACCAGTCACATGGTTCAGGGTCACATCGACCGGTCTTTTCCTCAAACACCATCGGCAACCAAGACCTCCTCTTCTTTTGCTATGTACATAGGAGGCCATCGCTATTGAGGCTGGAGGCCATTGCTTCTAGGTTGGAGGCCATCAATTCTAGGCTGGAGGCCATTGCTATTAGGTTAGAATGCCATTAGGCCATTGCTCTCAGGAAGTATGGTGACCCGAAGCTTCCGGGCTTTCGCTCAACCGCAGAGCTCGCTCAGCTCGCTAAGCCATGATCGTCGGACTCCTTCCAGCGATGCCCGCCTGAAGCGCCAACCGAAAAAAGCGCTTCAGTACTGGCCATGAGCTGGGCAATGTGTGACGAGTCAAACGTTTCTTGAATTCAAACTGAATTTGGTGATTCAGGCAGCTTTTGCGAACTGGCTCTACATGAGCTGATGATATTGATTGACAAGAATGGGATCCCCATGTGCAGCAGTAGGTCCGTCTTCAATCAATCCCAGACTTCCAGCCGGGGTGAGGTCCTCACATGGCCTGTCTATAGTCGTCTTTGGGTCTCTTGACATGGCTCATACTGAAGCTTCAAGAATAAGGGACTTCCAAAAGAGGATGGTCTGGTCTTTTTCGGGGTCAACCGCACATCTATGTTACACGAGTAAAAACTTGTTCCCAGTCTGGAAACAAATTCATCTTGAGGAATGAAGACGAAAGAGTCACCAATGGGGGAATCTGCTATACTACTAGCCAATAGTAATCATTCTACTGTAGGCTCCTCGGGTGAAACAAACAAGTCTATGATCTGGGATGAATGTTTGTGAACTCAGAATGTGTCTCACCTCAATAAGCGTGGGGCGCTTTCACGTGTCCGCATATGCCATCTACATTATAGATCAACCATCTTCTCGAGAAAGTAACGTCAGCGTACGCGTCAATGCCAATCCAGGAGCAATCAAGGCAATGAACGAAGAGAGTCCTGAGCAAAGCACAGAGTTCTGCAAGTAAGGTAGCTGCCCTGAAGCCCATTCAACCATATTCACCCATGATAGTTACAGGAGCAGTTCACAAAATGAGATGTCATAACAACAACGCCCTACTAGGAATAACAAATGATATTTGCTAGTAGCCCCTCACTGTGTGCGCACTTCCGTTCTCAAGTTCGCTTCCCTCCTTTCTCGAGTTTGGTGGCGCCGGTTCTTCTTAATTATTAGGAGGACCCAAACCCCCATTGCAGCAACAAATGATTCAACTGTATGAAGCCAGGAGGACCCAGGACGGAACACCAAACCTCAACCTGAACTCCAACCGGAAGTGCGAGGCGTTGCGTTGTCCCCGTGGAAATCCGCGAGGCTCGCGTCGCAGCAACACAGCCAGGTGGCGCATCTTGGTGGTCATTGTGCCAGCCCGTCTGGACCTCTTGGCGGCTGCAGTTCTGGGAGCTACACTTCCCGCACATGTAGTCCTCACCGGGATGGCACTGCTACTGCTGAGGCCGTTTTGCAGGAAACACAGCGAGAATGGCAACTGATGCCGCTGCCGCGGCATCATGTTAAGTAAAGGACTCATTTGGCATAAATTTCTCTTGTGAGGTCTATATATCGAAGTCTAACTTGAGATTCGACCAGAGTGTGAGTATCTGTGGTCAGTGTTTGGTTGTGTCCGTGTCGGCGTGTCAAAAAAGGACCCCCCCCAGGACGCCCAGGAAAAAAACACACACACTCTGAAGAACCAACCTGTTCGGAAATAGAAGTCTATAAAACAAGATTACATATAGCAGCTGCAACCATTGGGCGCCATGGTGTCTTTCGGCCCCACACGTCGGACGGAGCGGTGTCGACCGGACTCGGAGCGGTGTCGGGAACCGCGGCCCGGTCCTCGGTCGCGGCGAAGGCGGTGTCCGAGCGCATCAACAAGGCCCCCTGAGGGTCGAGACATGGAGAGATGGTGGAGCCACATCGGTAACCAGGTGGTGCAAAAATGGCAAAAACGATCAAAAACCATCAAAAACGGCTTCAGGTGAAGAACTGGGCTGGAAAAACACCTGGTTTCCCTACCTCAAGTGACAACTAGGACACTGGAGGATGCTGTGGGTTTGGGCTGGGTGGGTTGAAGTTCGGCGGATCATCAGCGGGTGTTGGGCTGGTCATCACACTCTGTCTGGACACTCGTTCAAGGCGAATGTGTTTTGAGACGTCGAGTGGATTGCATGAGTGCATAGATTGGGCAAGGTCATGGTTAGTCTCCGTGCACAATGTCCTTGAGGGACTTGGGCGGATCATGAGTTCTAACACGATAACTACCACCCAAACATGGTGTTCATCGATATCGAGCGATGGTGGCAGCCCTGACAACCACAAAATGGCAGGCCCAAAACCTCCAAACATTCTGATCCTTTGGAACCGCGCGAATCGCCCCCAATACGAACAGCTCTTCCAGATCCGCTCACACCTCTCACCTTACAAAATCTCCGACCATGGTGGGCCAATCCCCCCCCTCTTCGCTCTCCGCACCTGCAGCCCTTCGCTGCGTGCCGCCACCAGCTGCTGTTGCTGCTCCGGGCTGCGGAGCTCCTCGTCGGACATGCCGGGCACCTCGGGTTCGTGGGTTCAGCGAAACGAGGCCCGGAGAGGAGTTCCGGTCCGGTCCAACCGGGTGGGAGCGAGTCAGGGGTCCATATCCATGGTAAAACATATGGAATATGGAATATGAAGTGAAGCGATCACCATGTATGGGTGTGGCTCCCCAATTCCGAGAATCAATCATTGCTAGAGCCCTTCATGTTGGGCGAACCACATCTTGAATGTCCAACATGTTTACTCCATTGTTACTCCTGTGTGGTCAAAGTGTCGATGGCAAGGAATGGCAAGGAAGAAGGAACTTCGGGCTTAAGTACTTTGCAAAAGGTTGTCAGCAGTTAGGAAAAGTGGATGAGTTTAAGTGGCGCATGGTGGCGCGTTTGGGCCTCTTGACCTTACAAGTACTGTGCTAAGCCCAAATGAATGTCAGGTAGATCGAATTCAAGCACTGACTCACCTGCATCTATACGGCAACATCCACCCAACCGGGACGGCTGTTCAGATGCGCCTGACACGCCATGAGTTCTTGCGATTTGAGGCGTTTCGCCAGGCTCCCGGGGCCACTGGCGCTCAGCAGCGTGCAAAGCCTGAGGCGTACCGGAACGGAGAAGACCCAGGCAGCACATACACGAAGCAGGCCTCCACGGCTGGTGGATGCAACCCATCTAAACCACACACCTCTTCATGCAGCCATTGGTGAGCAATCACCCCTCCAATCAATGTGAAAACCCAGGTATCCACGTGTGGTGCTTGAAACTCGAAGGTGAAAAGAATAGAATTCATGGTGCCAGCGGTCCCTTTCTCATCCTTTGTCCAAATCCGGACACCGATTCGTGGAGGGTGTGTTTGACCAACGCGGAGCCATGAGCCATTTTAAAGCCTACTGCTCAGCCGTAAAAGGATCACTGGGTGCACAGGATCACTTCGTCCGCGAGAAAGAAAAAACCTGCCTCTTGTACTGTCTGGTGTAGACCTTTTTCTCCTCACCATCCAGAAAGCCCAGTGGACAGCAAGAGTTGAACAATGCCTGGCAGGCTTGGCGCAGCCAGCGCGGCGCAGAACACGCCGCGGCGCAGAACACGGAGTTTTCTGACTTTCGGGCCTGGTGCCTTCCAAAAACAACTACAGAACACTTAAGTGAAAAGGACATCAAAAAATGTGTCAAGAAAAAACACTGCAAATTAAACAAAGGAACAGAGCTCTCAAAGAGTCTATCTACAGTATTTGAACCTGGTTTTTGAAGGTTTTGAACCCGGAGAAGCGAAGGACGATGATCACGTATTTCGATGAAAAAGAAAAACACCTTGAATCAGAACACACACACTTCGACATTGGCTTTCAGTTAACTCAATTTCCAGGGAAATGGTGATGGAACGGAAAGGTGAAAGAGTCGGCGCAATTGTATTGTTGAACAAAATTTGATGCATGACTGCAGAACTCGGCCTCGGTGAACTCAGCGTGGAGAAAAAGGTTTAGGGGAAAGGATCATGAAGGACCATGAATCAAAACGTGGAAGATTAGGGTGACAGCGTGTGGAAAACTCCGCAGGTACATGAGAGTGATCAGCTCTCACTTCCCTCGACACATCATAGCTTCGTTGCGTCAGGTAGATGTGTCGAGCCTGACGCCCCTGCTGGAAATTGGTTGAAAGAACCCTTTGAGACAGGGCTGGACACACACACGGTGCCGCTTGGCGGCGCTCGCGTGAGAAACCTGAATAGAAACCTAAAAAGCCTTAGAAGCGAAAGAAAGAAAGACAGAAAGAGCAGCGCTAAGAGGGCAAGAGAGAAAGATAGGTGTAGAAAATGAAAAATGAATACTTAGCACTTGACTGGGGTAGGGAAACGAGCCTCAAGAGCTACCTAAATAGCCTGAGAGAAAGCCCAACAAACGACGAAAAGCGCAAGAAGGAAAAGGGGGGGCAGGGAGGGGATGTGTGTCCATGTGTGTGTACGTGTGTGTGTGTGTGTTTGAATACCTAGCACTCTAGGATTACTGAATACTTAGACGAAAAGAATTACGTGCACTAGTTAGGGAGCGGGACTTTTGTCTTACACCGCCCGGGTAGAGTAGACTAGAAAAGGGACAACAGAGGGAAAGGCACCGACACACAAGTGTGTCGAGTACCATTTCCCTATGTTACCCTAATTAGGTAGGGAGTAGAACACAGTGGGGGGGGTGGTCGGGAGACCTGCCTCAAGTGGTGGTGAAAGCCGTTTTGAAGCCCGGCGGCTATCAAATTCGTTTTTTAGCCCGACGGCTGTATGAGCAGTGAATTCAGGGTGGAAAGGGGCAGTGAGGAAAGTCAAGGAAGGAAACGACGAGCCAGTGAAATGAATTCCGGAATGAGTACGGCGCCTCCTTGCGGAGGATCACACCCAGCACCCATGTGGGACGGCTGAGCGGCTCACACTTCGACATTGGTTTTCAGTTAACTCAATTTCCAGGGAAATGGTGATGGAACGGAAAGGTGAAAGAGTCGGCGCAATTGTATTGTTGAACAAAATTTGATGCATGACTGCAGAACTCGGCCTCGGTGAACTCAGCGTGGAGAAAAAGGTTTAGGGGAAAGGATCATGAAGGACCATGAATCAAAACGTGGAAGATTAGGGTGACAGCGTGTGGAAAACTCCGCAGGTACATGAGAGTGATCAGCTCTCACTTCCCTCGACACATCATAGCTTCGTTGCGTCAGGTAGATGTGTCGAGCCTGACGCCCCTGCTGGAAATTGGTTGAAAGAACCCTTTGAGACAGGGCTGGACACACACACACACACATGGACACGCTCATTGGTGGTACATATAGAATCGAATTCCTATCAACCTCAACCTTGAGCCCTAGATCCTGTTGCTGGATCTTGCTTCCTGGTTCTCCGCCACAAGGACCAGCGGAGCCAGCGCGCGCCATGAAACCGCCTCTTTGGCCCCAGGTCCCGGGCCTCCTCCATTTCGCGGCTCTGCCGCTTGTCGAGGCCACCACGCTCCGCAAAGCCCTTCACAGCCTCCAGTCTTTAAGACAAATAGTCTTCTTTCTTTTTGCCGACCTCCAACCTACTAGCGATGGCCTCCACCCTCGCCCTACTAGCGATGGCCTCCAAGAAATTACTGGAAAACTCATGGTAGGTCAAGTGTTGTTCCAAAGATCGTCGGAGACAGGGGTTTTCTTGTCAAGCCCGAATAAATGTACGACTAGGGTGCCAAAACCCATTCCAGGAATTCTTGTTACAGATTCAAAGGGATTAATTAAGACCATCTACAACTGCTTTTCTGAGCATTGCGAAGCAGTGCCGACCCTGCTTATGCTGAAGAGCCTAGCATGATCAGCGTCGACCCCAACTGCACCTGGCCTGTTCTCTCAGCAGCCAGTCTTCCTGAAGAGAGCGTCGCAAATGGTGCTCTCACACACACACACACATATCATTCAAATCGACTGCAATAAATCCATGCCACCACCACATTTGTGATGGCGGCTGCATGTCTCAAAAAACATCGACCCTTAAAAGCAATCACAGGTTTTGGAGGGTTTGGTGCCCCAACCATACCCCCCAAACGAGGGGGTCCGCCCGGGCCCGGGCTCGCCTTCCACTGTGCTCGCAGGTCTTTGGACATTTGAGCGATCTCCGCATCTGAGCTGTTCCTTGGTCCATCTTGGTCCCATTCTGATCTGCTCAAATGGGGGGAAGGTGGGCGGCTTTTTGGGGGGAAGGTGGGCGAAAGATGCAGGTTCCCCCCCAGACTGTGCAGAGATACATTTTGGAGAAACGTCTTGGAGCGTGTTGGCACATGTCGACTCTTTTCAAGCTTTGGAGTGATTCCGCACCTTTGTTTCCGAAATTGTCTCGTTAGTTCATATTGGAGATGTCCTTAAGTCGAAGATCCCCCAAGCAACGGGTTGCTCTCACCTGTATTGATTCGGGGG